CGGGGGGAGGTGAAGGGTGGCGGGGCGGTGACGTGCGGTGTGACAGTAACATTCACGGCCGGGGCGGGGCCTGGAGCCACCACCCCGCTCCCCTTCGCCTCCCACCATGGCGCTCGGCTGACTTCTGCGCCGCTCAGCCAGGCTGCTGCATGGGAGCAAGTGGCGCAAGTGACCATTTGGGCTCCATGCTCCTCATGCAGCATGGGGAATGCGGAGCCCAAACGGCTGTTTGGGCTCTGCGGTTCCCTGAGTGAGAGGCAGGAGGGGAAGGAGAGTTGAGAGAGAGAGTTGAAGGTAGTACTCCCCCTGCAGTGCTTTCCCCCAGGTCACATATTCCCAGAACATAGTATGGCCATATGTGCATGAAAACCCCTCCTCTCCTGTACCCTGCCTAGCTGTAACAAGGGATGTTCCTGTGCGTCTGCTGCAAGGCTTTCCCTTGCCCAAATGTGCAAAGGGATACCCCTACCCCCATTGCAAGTGTTTTTCCCAGCCCTTTCTCCTGCCCTGCTGCACTTAGGGTTTCATGTGTTTGCTCACTCTGGGTCTGTCAGGCACTGCTGGGTATGTGGACAGTGCAAGTCTTTCAAAGGGGTTGGGGGCAGTGCTGAGTCTAGTGTTAACAATGGGCCTTCTCTAATGTTGCGATTTTGGCCTTGATAGAACTGGCTTTGAAATGCCAGTCTCAGGAAGTTCTAACTCCTTCAGAGCACCTGCAACTGGCATGGAAGCCCCCAAGAAAGACTAGAGAGGAGGTTTTGCTAGATGTCCTGAGCAAAAAAAGAATTGAAGGAGTGGAGAGACAGCAACAGGAGGGAGCCGAAGGAGAACATGCAGCAGCTCCTGAGCATTATGGAGTGGCAAGCAAACGTGCTGGAGGCACTGCACACACAGCAACTGAGACACCATCCCCCACTGTCTTCTGCAGCCGGTGTCCCAAAACTTTTTACAATATGCCCCCCGTCCTCACATTCGGGCGCCACCTGATGCACTCCAAACCTGCCCAGCCAACCTCCACCTATGCAGACCCCTGCTGGTTCTTGATGCACTCTGCCCATCCGCATGCAGCTTAATCCTGATGTAGCCCCCTTCCGTAGTGCATCAGACAGCATGGCTGCATAGGAAACTTGGACATACAGAAACCTCTGAAGTTCTCAGTGTGTGCCTCACCACCTGTCACCTGCACTCCTTCCCTTCTTATCTCCTGCAGTGCACATACTTTTTTTTCATGCTTCAAGGGCAGCCGTTGAGGGAGGGGGACAGGCAGCACCAGCTCCTGCTCCCCTCCCACTTTCTGCCTCTGATACAGAGGCAGTGGGGACCGGGCAGGAGAGAGTAGTTGGATAGTTGACTCCCTAGTACCTTCTGGTACATAAGTCTGTATTTAGAGATGGAAAGTTTTATATCCTATAACTAACCTCTTGAGCTCTCCAGTTCCTTCCCGCAGAGTACTACACTACTATGATTTAATCTCCATAGATTTATTCTGCAGCACTTGGTAAGGAAAACTGCTAACTGACATGAAAATCTTAAGAACTATACTAATGACACTGACCTATTTCTTCTTCAAGTGGTCCTTGTGGGTGCTCTGCTCTAGGTGTTTGGTCCATCTCGGCGACGCTGGTCGGAGGCTTTTTAGCAGCCATAGTTGGCCGGACCGCACATGCGCAGTAGCCGGTGCACGCCGTTTGCACCCTTTCCAATGTCGCGCGGTCCGGCCCCCCACCAGTTCCTCTCAACCGTCCTCGGTTGCTGGTAAAGCTCCGTTACCTCTCCTCATAGAGAAGGCAGTTCTACAAAGAAAGTTTTAAATCTTGTTATTTCATATTCATAGTTCTTTAGCTACTTAGTTTAATTAGTGTGTTGTTAAAAAAATTCTTTCTTCTACTCCGTTCAATAGTTAGTTAATGGTTAGTTAATATTATATTGTTAGTCTGTTTATAGAATCCCAATCTCTGGGATCAAATATGCCTGGGTCACCGGGATTTAAGAAATGTGCCCAGTGCAAAGATGCTATGCCAGCATCAGATGATCACGCCGAGTGTATTTGCTGCCTGGGGGAATCCCATGTCCCTCAAAAGTGTGTTCACTATTCTAAGTTAACTGCAAGAGCGTGCAAAGATAGGGACATGCGACTCAAGCTGATACTCTTTGATAAGGTTCTACAGCCTTCTGATACTACCCCTCAGGATTCGGCAGCGGTACAAAAAAGAAGAGCGCTATTGCCTGGAGTGTTGGCCTCAAAAAAGAAGAAAGCCTCGCCCACCCGCTTCTTATCCACCACTCCCCTGCCCAGAGTTAGCCAAGAAGAACAACCGGGCACTTTGGGGATCATCCGGCAGCCTGCTAAGGCCGGGGCATGGGCTAATCCTGCAGCACCCGCGCTACTAATGCGCTCAAAATCGGCACCGGCACCGTCATCTGGATCTAAGGCTGGCAAAATGGCAGCGTCTTCGGAACTCAGACAATCGGCACCTCAGATGCCATCGCTGAAACAAACTGATATGGCACCGGCCTCAGGGCCGCAAGGCGCAGATGATCCGGCACTGGACACGGCACTGAGAAGCCCCAGAGAACCGGCACCTCAAAGGGCACTGAGCCCCCTGAGGGCGGTGTCAGCTCCGGCACTGACACACCGGCATGTGGCGGAGCCGAAGATGGAGCCCAAGGCACGCCTTCTTAAGGCATCGGAGTTGGCACCGCATGAGCTCCGAGAGTCGGCACCACCTGCGGCGCCGCGGAAGCACCTCCAACCTACAGCGGCATCCGTTCCGGAGCAGGACATAAGTTCTCCATCTTTCCCCGCTTCACATTCTCCGATACTAATGACAGATGATAATGACTGCCCATCTATGGAAGAAGCACATAACATCATTTCAGTCCCCATGAAAGCAGCTAGGAAATCGGTGCTGAGAACCCCTTTGTTGTCGCCATCACCAGTGTTCTCACCAGCACTATCTCCATCACCTCCATTACGCCACTCGCTGTGTGGGAGGTCTCACTCTGAGGTTGAGCTTCGACACCGTCACAATCCTTGTTCACCAAGGCGATACTCGAAGCCCCGTTCCACGCATGTGTACAGGCAAGCTTCATCTCATCACCGAACCTCATCATACAGGTCTCAGTCTCCCACACATTCTCTGACTAGATCCTATCCGAGCAGGTATGGCAGTAATTATTCCTCTAGAAGATCATCACCAGAATATGCACATCACTATTATAGCGCCGATCGTACATCCCACACATACGGCAGCTCATGCTCTCACTCTCACTCTTGCTGCTGTCGTTTATCCTCCAGCAGACAATATTCACCACCTGCTCATTCCCAACGGAGAGCTCTATCTCCAAGACACACTGGGAATGCCCCTCCGCTCCCAGTGCAAGTATCCGAACCAGAGGAAGAGCAGATTTCAGATACTGATGATCAGTGACAAGAACCTCCCCCAGCTGACCTTTCTTCCTTATCCCCAGACGAAGCCGTCTTCATGGGGAATACTTCCCCGCAGATGACGCGCGGGAATTCCAAGACCTTTTTAAACAGGTTGCAGAATCACAAGACGTCCAACTATCAGAGGTGCAGACTAAGCAGTATAAGCTGCTAAAGAATCTGCACCCAAGGCAACAATCCAGAGTGACTCTTCCTATTGATGAGGCAATCTTGGAGTCAGCCTCAGAAATCTGGCATACTCCCGCATCGACCACACCAACGTCGAAGCAAGCCCAAAAGAGGTACTTTGTTCCATCGAAGGGCTTAGAATTCCTCTTCACCCACCCCCCAGCCAAATTCGTTGGTGGTGGACGCAGCCCTGCAAAGAGCTAAGAACCTGCAGGTAAAGAGTATGGGGGCAGATAAAGAGGCCAAGAAACTTGACATCTTTGGATGTAAAGTCTATGCATCGTCCACACTGTTCCTCCGCATTGTGAATTACGCAGCGCTGTTGTCTAATCACAGCTTTGACAACATTGCTAAATTAACAGAGATGGCACAAAGAATTACCGATGCCGACAAAATTTTACAACGAGCAATTGTTCAGGAGGGTTATGCTTGCTCAAGGGCGGGCCTTGAAATTGCTATGGACATTGTAGACACAGCAGCTCGGTCTGTAGCAACTGCTGCTTCTATGAGAAGGGCTTCATGGCTAGCAACAGCAGGTGCGCCCAAAGACTTGCAAGCCAAAGTGGAGGACCTTCCTTTTGACAGGCTCAAATTGTTCACAGAGGAAACAGACAAGGTCCTTCACACAGGCAAAGACTCGCGAACAACGTTACACATGCTCGGAATATATGTTCCCCCATTCCGACGCAGGAGATACTTCCCTTACCAGCGTTGATATGATTTTCAATCCAATAGACAGCAGAACCATCCCTTCGATCAGATGCGCCCCAAGCAGAGGCCGCAATGCAGGCATCCCCAACCACCTCGTCCAGCGAATCCATCAACATCCAAACAGCAAGTTTGACTCCTCCGTCAAGGGCACGTACATACCAATTGCTGTTGTAAACGCCTTCACCACCAAACCCATTTTTCACCATCATCTACGGCCCTATTATCACCAATGGGCCCTGATGACATCCAACAAATGGGTATTGGAAGTCATAAGGAAAGGTTTCACCATCCCCTTCACTTCTCTTCCTCCCACTAACCCACCAATCCCGTTCCTTTTCAGGGACCCAACTCACGAAACCCTCCTACAACAAGAGACCAATTGCCTACTTGCCATCGGGGTGATAGAGAGGGTTCCAGATGAGTTCAAAGGAAGAGGGTTTTATTCGCGGTACTTCCTAACACAAAAGAAAACAGGCGGTTGGAGACCCATCCTCGATCTCCGCGGTCTGAATTGCTACCTCCACAAACAGCATTTCAAGATGGTGACCCTTACCACAATTATTCCATCTCTAGACGTCAATGATTGGTTCACTGCCCTCGACTTGCAGGACACTTATTTTTCATATAACTGTACATCCAGCACACAGACGATTCCTGCGATTTGTGATAAGCAATGAGCATTTCCAATATCGCGTCCTTCCATTCGGGCTGGCATCAGCCCCCAGATTTTTCTCAAAGACTCTTGCTGTCATTGCAGCACATCTTTGTCATTTCCAGGTTGTCATCTTCCCCTATCTGGACGATTGTTTGATCAAGGTGACATCACAACAGGACGCTGCATGCATGCTCTCTCTGGTCCGATGGACTTTCGACTCCCTCGGACTCATAGTGAACGAGCAGAAATCAACACTACATCCAACACAAAACATAAAATTCATAGGAGCAGTCCTCGATTCACTTATGGCGAGGGCCTACCTGCCACTAGACAGATTCCAAGCGATTCAACATCTAGTCAACGTATTCGACAAGGCACCAACAATTTCGGTACACACCTGTCTGAAGCTCCTAGGCCACATGGTTGCGACGACTTTTGTAGTTCCGCATGCGCGGCTACACTTCAGAGCTCTACAGCATTCGTTAGCAACTGTATACGCACCCGCGAGACATAGCATCCACAGAATAGTATCTCCTCCGCCTCACGTTCGTATGTCCCTACACTAGTGGGCAAACGCACGAAACCTCAGGACGGGAGTCCCATTTCATCAGCCACAGCCGTCCATCCGGATAACAACAGATGCTTCGCTCATTGGGTGGGGCGCTCACATGAACAACGGGCGCATACAGGGCAAGTGGCTCCCCAACGAAAGATGTCTTCATATCAATCTGTTAGAACTAAGAGCCATCTTTCATGCATGCAGACACTTCCTTCCGCACCTGAGGCATGTCAGTCAGAGTCCTGACAGACAATGTAGCAGCAATGTACTATATAAACAGGCAGAGAGAAGCCAGATCACGCTCCCTTTCTGCCGAAGTGGTGAGACTCTGGAATTGGTGCATACGGAACAATGTCACCATAACAGCGTCTTACTTACCTGGCATCAACAATGTAATTGCGGACTCTCTGAGCAGACGCTTTCCCTTAGATCACGAGTGGGAGATAAGGACAGCTATACTACATCACATGTTTCACAAGTGGGGAACACTCCTCGTAGATCTCTTCGCCACCACCGACAAAGCAAAATGTTGTCTGTTTTGTTCCAGAGCGGGCATCGGCAAGGGTTCCCTTGGAGATGCTCTTCTAATGACCTGGAAGAAGACGCTTCTGTATGCATTCCCACCAACGGTCCTCATTCCTCGGATATTAGAAAAGATCAGATTGGAAGCAGCAACGGTCATCCTGATAGCCCTGGCCTGGCCGAGACAGCCATGGTATCCGTTCTTACACAGCATGTCACTACGGCCTCCCTGGCCCCTCCTTCTTCACCCAGACCTCCTCTTGCAGGTACAAGGTTCTCTCCTGCATCCCAGGCTGGACACGTTGCATCTGACAGCGTGGTTGATAACTGGCTCAGACAAAACGAAACTCTGTGTTCCGACCAGGTCAAAGCAATTCTGATACATAGCAAAAAGACATCCACACAAAAAACTTACCTGGAAAAATAGCATAAATACTCACATTGGTGTGTCTCCAGAACGACATTCAACCTCTGGTATCTCCTTTGCACTGCATCCTCGATTACATCCTTCATCTCTAGAATGCAGGCCTCTCCCTATCCTCCCTAAAAGTACATTTGGCAGCTATTAGTGCTTTCCATTAGACGGTTCCTCAGTTTTTTCTCATCAAACGACAAAATAGTTTTTAAAGGGCCTGACGAACACTTATCCGCCTCACAGGCCACCGCCTCCGGCCTGGAACCTTGATTTGGTACTAAATACCATCATGTATCCCCCATTCGAGCCTTTGGCATTGGTTCCGCTCCAGATGGTAACAATGAAGGTGGTGTTCCTACTTGCGATCACTTCAGCACGCAGAGTCAGTGAGCTGGGGGCTCTTATGGCAATGCCTCCGTTCACTTCATTCTCTCCAGACATGGTGACTTTAAGACTCCACCCTGCATTTACCCCCAAGATCTGTTCTTCTTTTCATATTAACGAACCCATCGTTCTCACTTCTTTCTATCCACAGCCTCATTCTTCAACTAATGATGCCATGCTACACACACTCGACGTACGTCGAGCCCTTTCGTTTTATATAGATAGAACCCATTCATGGAGACAAACAGACAGATTTATTAGTATCTATCACACCTTGTTCTAAAGGCAATGCACTCTCTAGTCAGCGCATTGCCAAACTCGTTACTCTCTGTATTATGAAGTGCCATGCGTTGCGAAACAGACCCCTTATGTCTCAGCTGATTGCACACTCTACTAGAGCAGTAGCGACCTCCTCGGCTTTCGCCCGGGGGGTGCCTCTTACTGATATTTGTCAAGCTGCCACGTGGTCCTCCAGTTCTTCTTTTATACGTCACTATGCAATAGTGCATCGTTGGGCTGCAAATTTCGCAGTAGCGTCTGCAGTTCTCTCTACTGCAAAAGATCACTGACCCGGGGTGCTTTCTCGGCTACTGCTTTACAGTCACCTAGAGTGGAGCACCCATGGGGACCACTCGAAGAAGAAGGAGAAGTTACTCACCTTTGTGTAGTAAGGATGGTTCTTCGAGATGTGTCCCCGTGGGTGCTCCACGTCCCGCCCTCCTCCCTGCTTCGGGTCGTCTCTTGTTTCTCGTTGCAGATGCCGAGTGGTGAGAGGAACTGGCGAGGGGCCAGACCATGCAACGTTGGAAAGGGCGTGAACGGTGCATGCTGGCTACTGCGCATGCGCAGTCCGACCGACTACGGCTGCTAAAAAGCCTCCGACCAGTGGCGCTGGGATGGACCCGATACTTAGAGTGGAGCACCCACGGGGACACATCTCGAAGAACCATCGTCACTACACAAAGGTGAGTAACTTCCCCATTCAGTACCATGCTTAAGTACATGTGCCTATGCACAAATACACTTTCAATTACTGTACCAAAGTCCCATCCTGAATTTGATTATTTGACAAATTTGTTCGTCCTGCTCACTAGCCTGTGAGCTACTTGTGTAATACATCTATTTCAAATATATGCTGCTAAAACCATTTCCACATCATGCGTATCTTGTGTTTTGACATAATGTACAGGTAGTCCCCGGGTTCCGTACTAGATAGGGACTGTAGGTTTGATCAGCTGGAAGCGCCGTGCGTCGGGCCGGGTCCTGCGCGGCTTTGCTCAGCGTCTCCCTGGTCTGCAGACCAGGGAGACGCT